AGAGCCTTGGAATACAGCCTTTGCTTCTCCAGATTGAGAAGTCACAGCTGCGATGGCTTGGGCATGTGTGTGAATGCCTCCCGAAAGGAAGGCTAAGCAACTGTTACTTGCAAGTCCGGCCGGCACAAGGTCCTGGGGACCGCCAAGATTAACCTGGTGCAGACATATGGAAGGAGTCTGTTCCAGATTGCATTTGTCTTTTGCCGAAGCTCAGACTCTGGCACAGGGTCGGGAACGTTGGAAGCACTGTCTGACGCGTCTGCCTCCGCGACGCGAAAGGAGAAGCGGCGATGGAAGATGAAGATGATGAAGAAGATATTTTATGATGAGTTCTTAAACCTAAATCTTGAAAACTTTCCAAATTATAGGAGTTTGTGATTTCTCTCAATTAGCTGGCTGATGATTTCGCAAGAGCTGAAATATTCATTGCCCAGTTAGCTTGTTAGGCTTTATTTTAGACAGATGTTTAAGTTCGAAAATACAAAAGGAGCTCAGCAGTAAAGTAATTTTTATGCAAAATAAATGCTATCTATTCGCATCATTCATTTTCCAAGACAAAGTTATCTGTTCAGCTTCAAGATGAATAAGAAACAATGACCAGCATCGATACAGACAGAATTCGTAAGATCTTATTCGTCCACAGAACATCTATTGCAAAACTACGGCTTATCATGATTTATAGTCATTAGCTAATCAGCGGTTACAGATTTCAAAACGTAATGTATACATTTTAAGTTATACTCAAGAAAGACAGTCATTACCGCATCTCAGATACGGCATACAAAAATTGCTCTTTCTATGAATAATCTTTTGCGATGATCCTCGAGACGATCATATCAATCATGGTGTCGTTGTTGACGTCTGATTTCTTCACGTGGTATACCTGAAACATTTTTGTTTTCAGAGTTTGTTTACTGACTACAGTAAACAAACCTTAACACAAGTAATTAAATTAATTTTCAACGGAAAATATACAAGGAAATGCCAGAAACCGATTAAGATGAAACGGTATTTCAGCAATGAAACATTTTATATCGCTATTTGTTTGCTTCTACCCCTTATAATCCTAGCAATATCAATGTTAATATAAACGTTGGAGGTCTGTGTTTAAAGTCTACCTATTTTTTCGTGCAATCAGAATGACGTCATCTTGCTTTCACAGTGATGATAACATAAATGTACAAGTTTGAAGAAGTTTACTGTGCTAAATTTCTAGGTACTGGTCATCCATACAGAGCGAAGGATACTGTTTTCCGTACACTGCTAAATATCATTCTCATTGTAAGGTTGTTCTTTGGTCATTCGCCAAGACTTGCCATATTGAAACGGATATACCCATTTAGAGGGCGTAAAACAATTTAACCTAGATTGTCCGATGATTAATATGGACAGTGGCCCCTAGTCCTTCCGCTATAGAAATGAAAATTATAATAATTTTTACTTCCTTTATGAAGTAGTCAAGACTTAACCTCACAAGATCCCTAGCCTCTCCTTGTCTTTATAGGCTTTGAGACAAACTACCACAGTTACCAAAAATTGTTATTCATATCATTAGGCGAACTGAAGTGAAATGAGTATTCCACAGAATACGTATATTACCGTCCAGAGTGGTAATACGTCTATAACGATATAGCTGAAAGTAATATGCAATTTAACTGACCCAGTATAGACGGAAAGCGACTTGCTGTTCGGTAAATGCATGGCTTTTACCGCATTGCCGTCTAAGCTTCAGCCTGCGTTGAGCACGGTATAAACTTAAATATGCAAGGGACTGTGTCACGGCTTAAGTATAGGAGTAGACTTAAGAATGGTTCAGTAAAACCGAGGTATTACCGGCTCGGACTGAACTGCATGTCAGTATGAACGGATGATAGTATATATACTGCTTTCTGTCAGGAAATGCCAGTCACTTATGGTTGTCGTCGTCATGTAAGGTATCAGTGTAAAAGGCCGAGTGCCCAGGCTAAAGAAGTCTGATGCTTTGACTTCTCAGAATGATTTAGACGATGTTAGTTGCTACGGTAAAGGTCATATTTCTCGTCGCAAGGAAGCCCATCTCTAGCAGCAGTTGGTGTAATGCTGGGCTGCGACGCGCCTGCGGCAATTTTATTGCTTCCCAGAGGATAATACTTTTGTATAGGTCACCATTCTCTCTTCGGATGGTTCTCTCAACAGACGCCAGTCCCTGATTTCTTCAGACAGAATTCTCAGGCCACTCATTTCCAAGG